GGGATTCAGGTTAAAAAAAAGCCTGACCAGGAGTCTGTATGTGAGTAGTCACTTCCATGAAAATGAAGCTTAAAGCATTACTATTAAATCAAAGAACATATTCTCCATCTATCAGAATTGTAGTACATTCAGCAAATTTTGTGTCTCTCGTAAAATTTTCTTAAACAAATCTTGCCTCTGCATCTTCCACTCTTCACAATTCCTAGTGTTTAAATACAGAGAGGTAACCCTGTATGGCTAGGAAGCATATAGGAAGAACTGAAGGCTTTCAGTGAATTTGATCATGGTCCAAATGATAATGTCAGTATCCTTTCTTTTTTTCAGTGGGGATAGGACTCTTGAAAACCATCGTGGCAAGGAAGAATATTGATTTGGGAGGGAATGTTTCCTTCTCTTTCCCCACAGGTCCATCTGATGATTCTGACTGCACCATAATTAGTATTTATTAATTTCTTTTCCAGACATTTGCTAATATAGTTGATCCTGGAGACCTTGTGAAGTTATTGGAATGTAGGTTCTGCTTTTTATCTATACTATGTTGTATCCATTAATGTCATACATGTATGGGCTCTAAAGACTTTTTTTAAGGTTTCAAGTATGTGATCGTATTACTATCAGGAGCCTGTTCTCTGAAAAGTTAGTGGGTAACCAATGTAGTGTGTTATATACTAAATAAGTAGGACCCCACCCCTGGTGTGTTTTCAGAGCAGAATTGTTGTCAGTGAAGGAAGAGGGGTTTTGCTGTCTTTGGTTACTAGCAGCTTCCCCAAAATAGTGTTATCTAACAAAATGCCTGTAGAAATGTATGTTTCATGCTTTAGAACAGGAAAGGGGTAAAAAGTCATAATTAATTGGAACTCCAGCTGGTTATCCAGCTAGGTAATGGGTTCCTTTATATGGTCATTTATTTGATTAATTTTCAAATCATAAAAGCTGAAACCTTTAGTTTTTGTAAAATTACTAGTTTCATTTATAAAAGAAAATTGTATGTCTTGCCCATGTGGAATACAATGAATTATAGTGAGAAAACACTGGCCCTGAATTCAAACTTCAGGAATATGCACCCTCATACTGGGAGTTACCTGAAAAAGGGCCAAGCTTGCATAATCTTTAAAGGAGGACAAACTTGGCAGCAGATAGAATTTAGCAAGTTCTAAGTCAAATTTAGAGCTGTCATTTGTACTTTGCTAATACCACTATGTTCGTCTGTGGTATTTATGCAAACTGTTCTTAATTTTCTCTTATTATTGGTGTAGTGGAAATAGTACAGCAATGTACAGTGCTATGAAGCTTAAATCAGTGAGCAGTTTTTCTTGGGCTTTGACTGTGAAGATTGCTTTTCATTTTAGTTTTGTTTCTTTTTAACTTACGAAAAAACTTTTTTCCTTTCTAGTTGACACAGCAGTACTTGAACTAATACAGCTCGTTCCTCCAGGTATTGTATCAGTCTCTTCATAAATTATGCAGTTTAATAGGTGAATTTCCATGAGGACATTGCCCATTACAGCACAATCACTTTTTCCAACACACAAACACCACAGAAAGCTCTTCAACAAACAGTTGTCTGAATATAAAATGTTAATAGATCAAGAGGATCTCATTCTTGAAAGAGAATAATAACTGAATATTGAAATGTACCATACTAAGGCTTAGGAAAGTGATAATATTTTAAAAATGGAAAATAAACTGAAATCATCCAGTGCATACTTATTAACTACATCACAATTCTCTTGCAAAGAGGCTGTCTGTGAAATTTCAGAGTGCATAATCTTGTTCTCAGAATGACACTTTTTTTTCCTTCCATTTTAATGGTGACCACTGGGAAAACTCTTATCCTCACTATAAGTATTACAGGTCTCTTGGGATCTGTGAAGATAATAAATAGCGATTTGTCATACTTCTGTTATTGGTTTGTGTGATTATAAAAATCTATTTTAATGAAATTCAAGTGTTCCCATGAATAATGTAAATCTGCATTTTATTGGAAATAAAGTCAAGTTTTAAAGAGGACTCATTTGGAAACTGTGGTATTAAAAGCACTCTCACTTGTCCTTAGTACTTTCAAGGAAACAATTGCTTCTCTCAGGTGATTCACCAGACTGTTTGCTTGAAGAAATGTACTGAATGGGGATTTTTTTGTGGGAGGGTTAAAGATCTGCATAAGGAAAATTCCTTATTTTCAGGGGTCAGAGATAGATGTGATACAGTCCAACATAAGCTGTTAAGATGGCTGCAAAAGCACAAGTTAATTTTTTTCATACATTCAGGGTTTTCCCTCTAAAGAAAAAAATTTTTATTAAAATAGCAAACCAGGATATGGAGAAAATCTTGAGATACATATATTGATGTTGCTTGTGTTTTTTAGTTACGGCTACTTTTACTATGCTGTAATATGGAATGATCCAGTTTTTCATAAGGGATTGGCTGCCATTAAAAAAATACTGGTTTATTCTGTGGAGTGGAAGGGAAAGAAAGAAGAAAACTACTGAAGAGTTGCCTGGACAAAACTTCTCATATGTCTCTTACAGAACAGTTAACATAATCTTCTTTAATTTTTTTTTACAATAGCATTGAAACAAAGTTTTATAGTAGATTCTGCACATTCTGCTGCCGATTTAGCTTGATGAAGTTACTTCCTAGTGTGACACGAGTTTTAGAGCCAGGCTTTTAATGTGTAAGGAGCAAAATTTATCCTGGTTTCAACATGGCTTTTGTGTGGTGTCTGTACTATATGGCTTCGTCTATTTTCCAATTAAAGTATATGTTTTCTTTTTAGTAGGAAAAGTTCTAGCTACGTATGAAGAAAATACAAGAAATTTCCTGTTCCCTGACCCTAAGCTTACCTGTGGGCACCATGGTGTAGAGCGTGAGATTTTAATGAAGAGGTCCTCTTCTTTTACAGTGAGTGAATGTCTGTGGGTTGTATTTATGACACGGTCTGTTTCACTGAAGAAATCCCTTGAACTGCTTCAAATGGAAAGCAGTTACTTCTGACAGATTTTGCCATTTTAGGTGTTGAATGTACAAATTCACAGTTGAACTTTGGTGAAGGTATAATCCTTTTTCAAAATGCTTCAAGCAGTTATTTGATGTGTAAAAGTTACTTTCCCCTTGGTTTGCAGTGTGGCACCATGACATGTCTCCATTCAGTTTAATCTGTGGTGCAGTTGGTAGTTGAAGGGATGCAAGGGAAGAGGGGGATGTCATATCGACTTCATGGTTCTCAACAGCTAAACCATGTAACCTTCCCCCTTGGTCTCTCTATGTAGCATTTTTGTTTCAGTCCATGTTTTGCAACTGTTTAGGACAATGATAGCCACTATAAATCTGTAGTGCTATAACATCTGACCTCCCTCTGAGGGCCTCCCTGAGGTGCAAGATCACCACTGAAATAGTAAGTTACAGAAATTTTAACTTAGTACTGCATGATTGTTTTTCTCATCCAAAGCTTGTTTGTTAAGGTCTGTTCAGGCCATTCACACTCATTTATTAACTTGCCTTTTCTACAGTTGCAAAAAACCTCTGATAAACAACAGCTAATTGGCAGAATGAGTGCAATAAATTAATGTTAATTTTGTGGAGATAAGGGGCTCAGGTACATAGCACATGAAAATGAATTCAGCTCACATTGCCCTGTCATAAAGTTTGGTGGTTGAATTTTAGGTGCCAGGGGAATAACTCAGAAAGGCACTTTGAAACTGATGGTGATGAGATGTGGGAGATGCGTTTTGAAGTTTGTTTTGTGTGGTCTATTTTGGTTAAGTTTTACTAGTGGATTGGTAGGACATTTGGATTGGGAAGATAGGGACTCAGTTGCCCTGTCTGTTGTGATTGGACTAAAAGTACATGCCAGGAGGGAAATGCTGATTAAAGGTCACTGGTATCTTTTAGCTGGTATAATCTTTCTCCTGCAAGGGCAACCTGGAAATTGCTCAGTCACTTGCAATTAGAAGTGCTAATTTGGTGTCTAATGCTGTGTTACAGTTCAATGAAATAAACTGTGATTTTGTGATACAAAACATATGATTCTGCAGCAGCTTAAACTGTCCCTGCAAATGCAGCCATTTTTAGGCCACAGCATCTTTTTTATATGGTTTATCCTATGTGTGGGAGTTGTGGCTCAGGAGATGGAGTGGGACCATTTTGCTTTCATACTTCTTATGGAACACGTACTTTCCTGGTGTTGAGAAAGAATAGGGAGGTAGTAATAAATGAGGTGGTATTAGCAAAGTGGTTTTAGATTTTTGTGAACACAATGTAGTGACTCTTTGTAAAAACCGAGCCACTAGAGAAGTTTGAGGGGTTTTGTCAGACCAAGTTCTTCAATTAAAAAATTTCATATTTTGTAATAAAGAGAAGGTGCCATCATTTGTGAACTGTGAGATGTGATCAGAGTAATTTGGATGTGTAGCTGAATCATGACTCTGTCATTCAACTTAAAAAAGTTGACTGAAGTTAAGACACAAATGTAGTTCCATGTACTTGTGAACAGGGTAAATGAGATCCATCTCTGCCCTGGAGCAGGGACTGCAGAAACATCTGTTGCTCCATTCCATCTCCGTCACTGAAAGAGCAGTTTAAGAAAGGATTTTGGCATACTGACCCCCTTCTCAGGAATAATACAGAAGCTGTGTTTAATGACAATAGAAAGAAACTCCCAAAAGAAACTTCTCCTTGCTTGCCAAATGGGATAACTGTGTGAGAAGTTTTACCTCCAGGAAAAATACAGGCTCAAATGCCTCCATCTACTAGTGTTCCCTGAGCTGTACTGGCAAGTGTCCCCTGCTAACTCTGTCAGCATGAAGCACTGAATGTGAATGCTAAGCAAAAGGGAAAGTGTTAAGGTCCTGAGAACCCTCACATTGTTCCTGTGCTAGTGAAGGCATGTTCTTCCCACATGAAAAGTTATTTATAGCTAGCTGAGATGCTGAATATTTTTGACTGACAGCTGTGCTTCAGTGGCACTTTGATTCCCAATAAATTCATCCTTTATTAAAAAAATAAAGTTACCGACAGCTAGGTTGCAGTTGTGGAGTTCAGCTAGGCAGTGACAAGCAGTGTCTGATTAACACTGCTAATCTGCCAGTTGGAAGGAATCCCACGTTGAGAGGATCAGAACTCCTCCAGAAATCTGGCACTTGGCTGATAATGTCTCTGGCTAAATGTCTTATGAGGCTTACGAACACAATACATATCCAAGACTTGCCTCGAGTTATCTGTCTTGGTCCAGTGTTGGCCAGCTGAGGCTCTTGCTGGCTCTTCTGTATTTCCCTGCAGCCCTTGCCTTTCAGAATATGTTTATGCCTTGACTGTGGTGCTGACTTCTTACAGATGTTCTTATCTCCATTCTCCACCCTCATGCAGTATTTGCCATGTTACGTAAAACAGTTTCTTTTCAGTTATGCTATCTTTCATTAGCATACCAGTGTAAGACCTTCTGTTATATATACTTTGTTCAAGCTACAGAGTTGTGCTGGTACTCCTTAAAGTCAAAAGCATATATTAAATTTGGTTTTGAACTTATGTTCTTCTAAATATGAACCTCCTTTATAGTTTTTCTACGATCAAATTAGTATTTTGTCCATATCACTTCTGTTTACTGACTGGTACAGAAGGACTGGCAAGGCTGTTCAGGGCAGCAGACACTATTGAGCAGAAGAATAGATCCCAAAAACTTTCTGGCTGGATTTTCTTTTACAGATGTGTTTGAAGTTACACGACAGTCTTTCCATAATGCTATAATGAATCTCCTTCACCAATCCCTAGTTTGGGAACTGCAGAAAACAGAACAACTTCTCTGATTGCCTTTGGCCTATAAGTTATGTTTGACATATCTGCGCCTGTGTGTGTGGGTGCCATACCATATTCGCTTTCCACTAACCATTGCTCTGAAGAAACCATTGTTTTCTACATGTTTAATTTTTTTTTTGCCGTATTTAACAATTTTGTAATCATTCCCAGTCTCTGTGAGAGCAGTGGGTGATCTATTGTTGTGTTTTCTAGTAGACTTACTAATTCTGATGTGTCCTTTTAAAAATTGTTGATAGCACTTGACAATTCATTAGTAATAAAAATGAGTTGATTAAAGATGGTCAGCTTTAAAAACAACTTTTACATGCCATAACTTGATTTGATTGAATCCTGGACTCTGCTAATTGCTATGACTGAGCTTTCTTGGCATTTTTGTTAGTTCATTTCCATAAGCTAACCTGGGGCCAGATCATATTCCCTAATGGGAAATCAGTGTGTGTTTAGGCAGGTGGTACAGAATAGTCTGGTTTAGCAGTAGACTTCACTCATGAAGTTCCTGCTAATTCTTATGGATGTGGGGCAGAGTCACAAACAGAAAAGCTCCTTTTCATGTCTCAGTGATTTTGTATGCTCATGTGCACAAATGCCCATGCATACAGATGCTTGGGCAGCAAACTCTGTGTTGAAAGAAGAGAGGGTAGAAGGTTCTAGAGGCACTTGATTCTCTTTTTGCTTCTTCAGAGCTGTATAGGATGCACAAAGATGATTCCCACTTGTTTATAGCATATGTGGCCTTTGTTTTTTTATGGCGTTTTTAATGCTGCTGTTTGTTTGGGAGTGTTTGGGAAATAATGCTTGTGTGTGTCGTAATACCTGCCCTTTACACCTAGTAAATTTTGTGTATGTTGGCCAATTCTAGCTGAATTTAATAGGAAATAAAGCTCTCTGAGGTGGTTTGTTCTTAACTATGGCTGGGGTGAAAGAAGGTGAGTTGAACAGAAACTGTTAGCCACATAAAGGTCGAGGGATCAGCTGGCCATTAGTATGTGTGTATGCTGTGGTTGACCAGGAGGCCCAGTTGGACCCCACTGATTACAAGCTGGTTAAAGTAGGGCAGTCACATGGGCAAGAGGGGATTGAGAGGACATGGAATAGAATTCTGGAGCAAGGGAGAAAATCCACAGAAATCAGACTGCTCTAATGATTACAGAATGAAGGGTATTCTTAGTCATACTGTTACAAATGAATAGTTATTTGCAGTGTGATTGACTCATTTTCCAAATGTTTTTACCAAAAAAAATGACACAACTGAGACTGTTCATAAATAAGTTCCCAAAGTTATCGTTAATGAAACTTCCAGAGCCTGACTGAAATTTTTATTGATACTATATAATGCATGGCATGAAAAATCTTTAAAAGTGCTTTTGACAAAAAAATGTATTGAAATAAAAGTCAGACCTTAATTGTTGTACAAAAGCAATATAATCATCTGTAATTGAATTGTCAGAAATGCAAATGTTAGCATCTTGACATTTACCATTGCTGTTCTGTCTTTTCTAATTATCTTTATTAAAGGCTGAAATTAACAAAGGAAATGGCTGAAAATTAGGAATGGTTTGTTACATTAGGTGACATTTACCTCTTTGATACCCTTTATCTTGAGTTGGAGCTTGATGTTCAATTATTGTCTCTCTTCTAGGGAATTGCACCAAAATTGAGATTTTCTACGAGCTCCCTTATTGCAGAAAGGCTGTTAAGCTCAGGAAGGAGTGACATACAGGTTAGCATAATTTAATTGTTTGCAGTTTAATTTCTAGATTTAATATTGATAGCCTTGGTTCCAATTTTTGCATGTGTTGCTCACTTCAAACTTTTCTCATTCTTTTGTTGTGGTTAAAGCAGTTATCATGGGTGCTTGACAACTTGATTAAATTTTTAATCAAGTACGAGTAAAGAGTGAGTTTGGTGCATGACAGTAAATGCTGAGAGTTCCTTGAATCTGAAACAATTATCAGCTGCTGTGTTCTATGATGAGCTGAAGTGTCAGTCCCTGGTGTATTTGTAGGTGGGAAGATGCCTTCTCACCATTTGTTACTGACACTCAAAATTAAGGACGACGAAAACTAGGTGAAGTCAGAGAAGCTGCATTATTAAACCCAAACCCATTAATTGTTTTCCATAACTGTATCATTAACAGTAATGGAAATGAAGATTTTTGTTGGAAAGGCTATCACCTACGTTAATCTGGAAGTGCTGCTTCTGCCAGAAGCCACACAACCTACTTCTGATGAAACTGAAATTAATCTTAAAGAGTTAGGTCTGATTTTGTGTGGGCCACTTCCATACTCTGTCTCACTAACAGCTACACAAGTGCTAGTACAGGTGTGATGGTATGAGTAGTCTGTGTGATGCCAGATTCAAACTGTGTCAATGCAAAGCAAACATACAACCTCAGCCTCACTCACTGTTGGGAGTAGAGTGAAAGGCTTGAAAGCAAGCTGGACATTTTATTTCTGAGTGCCTCTGAACTGAAGTAGTACATGCAATGTTCAGATTTAAGACTAATGTCAACTAGCTCAAGCTAGAAAAAGCATTTCTAACAGAAAGAAAAGGCCTGCTATTATACCTTTATTTTTTATCTTTTATAACCTGTGAAATTGGGCCAAACTTGACCAAAAAGCCTAATTATCCATCCTGCATTATTCAAAGTTTAAACATGCTGCTGATGAAGTAGCCTGGTAAGAGCTGTATAATCTAGAGTGCTTTGACCTATAAAGCTTGTAGAGTAATTGAATTCTCATTTAATGCCAGGAATTACAAAGGAATAATAATGTATTTCAAACAAAACTTCAGTGTTGGAAACAGTCTCCCAGAATTTGAGGTCAATCACTGAAGAAGTTAGTAGTTCTTGGAGAGGGTGTCAGCCTTTCTCTTAGGTTGACTTTGCAAGCCATAGCAACAAAAACTCCAACAGCACCACCACCATCCTGTGTTGTGGGAAGGGAGGTGGTGAGGTTGATTCCTTCTCCACTTTCCTTTCTCTCCTATATGTAAGTATTTTAAAAGACAATGTTTGATAATGGTGGGATTTTTATAATTTTTTTCTATGAAATCTGTATGTCAAGTGCCAGTTGTCCAGATAAACAGCTGCTATACCTCTTCTGCTGCAAAGGTAGGTATGATGATACATGTGATACATTCTACAACTGCCTGAAAGGAGATTGTGCTGAGGTGCTCAGCTTCTTCTCTCAGGCTGCTAGTGATAGGACAAGGGGAAATGGCCTCAAGTTGCACCAGAGAAGGTTCAGGTTGGATATTACAAAACGTTTCTTCAATGAAAGAGTTGTCAAGCGTTGGAACAGGGAGCCCAGGGAAGTGATGGAGTTACCATCCCTGCAAGCATTGAAAAAATGAGTAGAAGTGGCACTTTGCAATATGGTTTAGTGGGCATGGTGGAATTGGGTCTAAGGATAGACCTTGATCATAGAGGTCTTTTCCAGCCTTAATGACTTTATGATTTGAGACGGTGCTTGGAATCTTTAAGAGTTTAAGAGAAGATTCCAGAGTCAAGAAGTAATGTTTAGCCTTTAAAATTTGGGTTCTTTGGGGAGGGCAGTATTTTTTTTCTTGACTAAACATGACTTCTTGACTCTTGAAGATTCTCTTAAACTCTTAAAGATTCTACTAAATTCACCATAATCTAAGAAAATGAAAGTTTCAGAGAATGTAGTTGCATTTCTTTTGAGGCTTTCGACAAATCTAAATGCATGTAATTCAAACTGTTAAATAACCTTTTGTTTTAATTTATATTTTTTGTCTTAAATGGTAAGAATTCTAAAATATTAAAGCAAAAGTTTCAACAGATGAAAATATGCTTTCACCTTCTTGTTTCAGAGAAAATGGTAAATCCATTGTTGTTCTTGAAATTGCTATTTGATTATAGTTTTGGGAGGGGAACTTCAGCTGCCATGGCAGCTGTTTCTGGTAAAACTATTAGTTCCTTGTTTGTGTTATGGTCAGTGATCTTTGTTCTACAGGCTGTCAAATCAGGTAATTTCTCTTTTTTTGCTGCAGGATGATTTGAACTGGGTACATCATTCAACCCCAAATAGAAAACCGCAAGCAAAGTTCCCCAAGAAAAAGACTCTTTCAGCTAAGAAAAGCAAGCACAGCTTAGCAACAAAGCACTACGCGCAGGCCACAATAGCTTCAAAGTCGCGTTCTCCATCTCCGTACACGAAGAGAAGGATGTGTGAGCTCTCTCAAGAGGGCAGGCAGCGCCTGGCCCATTTAAACCTTGGGCCTTATGAATTCAGGAGAGAAACCAAGAAACCTCCATTTGTAGTTCAATGGGTTTGTATTCCCTCCAAAGTGCTTCCAGCTTAAGCTCAGATCAAATATTGTTCTT